CTCTCTCTCTCTCTCTCTCTCTCTCTCTCTCTCTCTCTCTCTCTCTCTCTCCCCCCCCCTTACCTCTCTCTCCCTCCGTCTATTCTACTGCAATTTTGCCCAATAACTAAACACCAGATATCTACATTTGAACGTATCTAGCTGAAAACATTAGCAAAAAACTCACTAACTTGAAAAATATCAATTGTAATAATACTTGAAAATTAAAACTGTTCATTTCTTGTTTCCATTACAAGTATAAATTTGCATTACATAATGTAACATTTTTTTTCTCACATATTGTTTTTCTTTGAAGCTTCGCTGAACAAGTTCATAGTGTCCATCGGAATCAAGATCAGCTCTCAGATAACACAAAACCATTAATTTTAATTTACAATTGAAATTTGCTCTTCGTAATAGTAAAGGAAAGACAAACTGAAGCACAGTGTGCAAAGACGGTCGTTGTTATTTAGATCGTTATTCAGGAAATTTGGTTGAGGTTGGGGGGGGGGGGGGATTCTTACATGATTGCAACAGCCTCAGGTTCAACATATTTATATACACTGCCACCAAAAACTGAAGCGTGTTGAAACCAAAGCCATATAGCGTCTTATTATTTCGCACTTATTCTTATTGCACCTACTCTTTCGGGGCACAGTTAAACAACACTTTACTCTGAGATGTAGGGAAATCCTGTTCTTTGCCCCAAAATTATAGAAAGCTGTAAACCTTTTGTCATTTCTTTTCCGTGCATATCTAGCAAATAATTGGTAGAGAGTATCTTTAGTTCTGCAGCACACTACGATTGGTTCTCTCATTTGGCTTTGCTGTACGTGCTTCCGGTCCCCAATTAATGCGAGTCGATAGAACGCAAGTTCAAATTTCCAGTGTTTCTTATACGATAATAAATGCCACTACTGTTCCAACGAAATTTCACCACTTCCTTGCTGACCGTTGATGCCTCCCACGAAATCCTCATCATCTGTCGCAGTATCTGAAGAAAGCCAAGAAAGGACCCAAGGACACTGACCGTATTTTTTTTCTCGTCTTGGGTATCAATTTCCTCACACGGCACCTCTTCTTTTTGCACTCAACATGCCTAGCCAGCAGGGAGATCGAAGAAGCGACCATTGTATTTCACTTTGTGAATGCTTCTCAATTAATTTTGGCAAATAGTGGCTGCTACCAGGAGACCAAATTCGTTGTGGAGAATCCATGGAAGGTACGACGTATATACCGTGGTCCTATACGTGAGACTTCCTTCTCGCAGGCTATTAAGAACATATAATTGTCAATCTCAAACAGTTTCATAAAAAGAACATTCAGCAGTGTAAACTCTTAATTATCTTTTGGTATTTAAAAATAAAACAACTAAAACGCTAAAACTAAAATGCTATATTGTTCACACCGTTCATCACATTTTCCACGAACTCCTCATGCAGTGTTCCAGAAGGATAGAAATCAAACTGTGAAAGTTTTGTCGTTGTACGCCATTTTATTCATAGTCAGGGTAAATACTAAACATTTATAGAACGCATCTCACATCTTTAAAAAAATGGTCTGCCATGTTCCCGATATCGGGTGTACGCATTTGAAAAACCAGAATCTGAACCCCAAAAATATTTGAAAATACGTCTTTTGTTGCTGAAATGGAACCTCCATGGCAACTTTTGGGCTTGTTTTTGAAGTTGTGCGTTTTTATTATTTGACATACAGAAAAGAGGATCTCTTTAGCAGCTGGTGGATGGATCATTCTCTCTTGAAATATTGCCTACGGATTTTTGCTTGCAAACACGGGCTCAACCTCACCCCCCACCCCCAAACCGAAACAATAATTCAAATAAGTCTCTCCCTCGAACAATAATCGTTTCCCTGAACGGCTGTTTTTAAAGAGAAAAATGATTGACGTAGCTTTAGCTGGTACTCACTTTGAATCTGTCGTCTCGGCCATTGGTATCACCCAGGCGATCGTCAATAAAACTGGGACACCTGTACAGAATAGATGTAGATAGCATGTGATGAAGATTCATGAGTCAGAACTAAGGTTGTTAAGATACACTCAAAACACAACGTTTATCGTTGTTTGTGGCGTAGAGGTAAGGCACTATGCCATCGCACGCAAAAGACCCGAGTTCGATTACCGTCAGAGGAGAATTTTTGTCGAGTATCTCCGTCTGTCTGCTGGGACATTGTATCCCTCTCAGCGGAAAGCGGAGACGAAAGCAGACGACAGAAAATGGTTAGAAAGCAGAAAATGAGGAGAAAGGAGACAATTTTTTAGGGAAGAATGTTTTACATCTCTATCAAGTTTCGGACCCGGGAGGCATTGAATGAAACGGGAACACCATACCTGTAGACCACGAAAGCCCTCAGCCAAGAATTAAAACAAAAAGATAGATAGATAGATAGATAAATAGATAAATAGATAGATAGATAGATAGATAGATAGATAGATAGATAGATAGATAGATAGATA